ATGTTGATTTGACAGGTCAGAACTGACACAAGGTCTGCCAGTATGTAGCGGGCTTAAAAAGGATTAAATTAAAGCAACAAATCAGAAAAAAAATTTAACAGTAATAAACACAGAGTATACAGTAGTGTGAATGGTGTATGCCATGAACATACATCCCACATACATTCCACAGGGTATAGTGCTAATGGTCTATGGCATGAACATACATCCCACATACATTCCACAGAGTGTAGTGTGAATGGTCGAAGCACATACATTCCATGGGGTATAGTGTGAATGGTCTAAGCACATACATTTCACAGGGTACAGTGTAAATTGTCTATGCACATACATCCCTCATACATTCCACAGGGTATAGTTTGAATGGTCTAAGCACATACATCCCACGGGGTATAGTGTGAATGGTCTAAGCACATACATTCCACAGGGTATAGTGTGAATTGTCTATGCACATACATCCCTCATACATTCCACAGGGTACAGTGTAAATCGTCTATGCACATACATCCCTCATACATTCCACAGGGTACAGTGTAAATCGTCTATGCACATACATCCCTCATACATTCCACATGGTATAGTGTGAATGTTCTTTGCACATGCATCCCACATACATTCCACAGGGTATAGTGTGAATGTTCTTTGCACATACATCCCACATACATTCCACAGGGTATAGTGTGAATGTTCTTTGCACATACATCCCACATACATTCCACAGGGTATAGTGTGAATGCTTTATGTACATACATCCCACAGAGTATAGTGTGAATTGTCTATGCACATACATCCCTCATACATTCCACATGGTATAGTGTGAATAGTCCAAGTACATACATCCCTCATACATTCCACAGGATATATTGTGAATATTTTATGCATATTCATCCCACACACATTCCACAGGTTATAGTGTGAATGTTCTATGCATGAATGGTGCTGGGCATTGTATTAAAAACTACAAGATACAGACAATAGAAAGTGGATATGAGGCATCAAAATAGTTAAAGTTCACACACAGCACCACCCTAGATGTTGACAATGGAAAAAGATATGAAATTTACTTTTACATAACACGTTTATGCTAATAAAAATATAATCTAAGAGGCAAAGACTTATTTGGATTACACATTTGATGCCTGAAGGCATACCCCCTCTAACAATTTCTAAAGGTGTATTGTTATATACATGAGATGTTGGTAAAACACTCCAAATGCTGAGTGACTGCACCAAGAAATAATCATTTCACCAATGTGTATACATGCATACCAACTATAGAGGAGGGGAGGAACACCCAAAACTCTCAGCATCAACCTTATCTGTAGAGGGGAGGGGGCCACCAGTGGTCTGGCAAAGACAACCAACACATTTGATAGATTGTTCCCCTGAGGATGCCCTGATCTGGCCAATATTGGATTGGAAAGGGCATCCTGAGTTCAGGGAGTTCTCCTTACAATTTCTGGTATGACTACAATAAAGAAAATGATCATGTGACTAAATGATATAGTCCGGCAGTTTACAATGCCCCACAGATAGGATTATGGATGACAGCTCCAACCAGTTCTGTATGACTGGAAAGTCTACCACAAGAACAGAAGAATAAAACATGGAAATGCAAATTTGAGTCTAAGGGTAAATGGCAAATCATATACTATATATACTGTGAATGTAGCAAATATATATAGTAATATATGAACATTGGCATCTACAAAACACCCCCCCCCCCCCTTCCCAACTTTTTGAATGTTGATAAGCATGCAGGGAACTGCACACCAATATATGTCATTCACAAATTGCCACGTCTAGAATGTATTTCCATAGTACGGTAATAGGCAGCGCAAGCTGAGCAGTACCGGCATTCCTATTCCGGGGGTTCATCTCGGTGCATTCTCTGCAAATGTTAAAGTCAATCACTGTGAAGACTTGTGATAGAAGTAAACCACATCTAAGGGTGAGGACACAACCAGCGGCAACTCTTGATAAAACGTCCTAGTTACTCGTCAAAATGCAATATTTTGCACTTTACAAAACAGTTACTGAGCAGGGAGTTCTCATTTAAAGTGATAATTAATCCTCATGTCCCATCACACTCCTGACCCAATGCCCAATGCAACAGGGCGGGGTGCAGCAGCGACAACGGATGCCTCCGCAAAGTATGGATAAATAGAAGTAGTCACTCGCACTCCAAAAGTAATAAAGTCAATAATGTTTATTGACTGTGATGATACACATCTCCTAAGCAATGTTTCGGGACCATATGGCCCCTTCCTCAGGCAAACAGTTTGCCTGAGGAAGGGGCCACATGGTCCCGAAACGTTGCTTAGGAGATGTGTATCATCCCAGTCACTAAACATTATTGACTTTATTACTTTTGGAGTGCGAGTGACTACTTCTATTTACTCATTTAAAGTGATAGTAAAGTCAAAAGGTTGTTAGGGTATTTCAAATGCTGATGAAATCTCTTACAATGGATGTTGCTTCTTGTTTAAAGGTTGTAGCTTCCTGCAGAATCAGCTGGTCACCTGAGCACTGGTCCTGATATCCTGTTGTAGGGGGGATCCTTTCCCTCGCAGGGTCTTATGAAGCCACCCTTGTGTGTGCTAGTAAGCTGTGCGTGTCTCCGCAAACACTCAGGCACAGCAAGGCAAGCCAGTCTTCTGCTCCCTACTCCCCTCTCTTCCCTCACACCACTACTTCCACCCTAATCCAAGCTAGTAGTTGGACAGCTGCTGGAGACTGTCCTGTCCCTTGTGATCTACTTGACAGGGTTCAGGGTAGCCAAGCCGAGAGAGTTGGAGCTGTTCAGAAACAAGATGACTGTAAGTGCTTGGGAATAAATACTTTTCTGGGAAATTTATATTTGTTTTATTTTCATTATTTAAAAAAAAAACGTTTGGGAGTGTAATACTACAGCAAGCACTGAACTGTGAACGAATGCAATCTTTTTTTAGTTTTGGATAGATTATTGATTTATTTTTTGCTGGCTGCATTCTGCTGGTGAGCTGGGGAGTCCCGAGGCCGTGTGTCACCCGGAGCGGTTACCGGGTGACACCCTGTTGTGACGTCATCGCACATGTGTGTGACATCACTGCGCGCATGTGCGGTAACCTTATTGATACCTGCCGGCGGCCATCTAGGTGATGGACGTCGGCAGAGAGAGGAGGGGACAGTCACCCGGCGGGATGAGGTATGCAGCCGGGTCCCCTCCTTTCTCCCGAAACTGTCGGGCTCTCGGTTCATGACCGAGTGCCTGACTTTTCAGAGGGGGTGACACCAAAATGCCTGACAGTCATTTTGGTGTCACCCCTCCTATGGTGTCACCCGGGTGCGGGCTGCACCCCCACCCCCCCTTTGTGAAGCCACTGCTGGGGAGATTTCACTTCACTTCCTGTTCAGCAGACAAAACAGGAAGATCTGCAAAGTGAGTTGTCACCAGAATAGGTATGCTCATTGGAAGATTTCCCCTCCCCTCTAATTCTACTGGGAAGTATAAAATGTTGGATTTCCCATCACTTCCTGTCTTGGTGGTCACCAGTAAAATATAGAGAGGGTGACTCTGAGCACAGATAGCTGTATAACCTGACAACGGGTTTTAACCCTTTCCTATGCCGACCAAAGTTATTATGTGTAGCTTTTATTTTAATACTTGTTAAGAATTAAAACTTAACTCTGGGCAAACAAACTTTCTTTTGAAAGCCCATCTCTGGGCAAACAACAAAGTATCCTTGTTCTGGGGCTTTCCCCGCACTGCAAGGGTTAAGTGTTAATTTTTGTATAGGGGCCGGAGTTAGGAACACCAGATCTTTGCTCCCCGGCGGTCAGCACTCTTCTCTTCCCCCTCTCTGCTTCGGGTGCTGGAATGTCCCTTGGCATCCTCACATACAATGCAGGTCTACAGAACCTGCATTAGAGATGATGACATCAGTGATCCTTAGGCTGCCGGTGCCCAGGGGAGACGAGGCTGCGGGGAGGAATCTAGCTGCAAGGTGGGAACTGGTGGGAGTGGTGATCAGATAAATAAATCTGCTTTCCTCCAGCCCCTAGACAGAAACAAGCATTTAACCCTTGCAGTGTATGGGGCTAACCCCACTGCAAGGGTACTTTCTCGTTTTTCCGAGATGGGTTTTGAATGTTTTCCATAATAGCAACAACGGATATAAATCAACTTTTTGTGCACCAAACGCCTTTGCAAACCTTATCAAAGTAGCGGTGACATCTTCACTGTGCTGTACATAGTCTGAGCAGAGAGCAGAGCTGTGGGAGAGACCCAACAGGACCCACCCACTATAGGCTGCCTGCAGAAAATTACAAGAGGGGTGAGATCCAGGACCGCTCACCCTGCACAAGGAGAGAGGGAGAGCACCAGTGTCCAGTCTATACTAGAAGACGGGGGTGGAGACATGACCAGTCACCCTGCAAAGTAGAGAAACCACCACTGATAGGTCTATATTACAGGAGAGGGTGGATACAAGACCAGTCACACTGCACATGGAGAGAAAGCAGCAGTGATAGGTCTATATTACAGGAGAGGGTGGATACAAGACCAGTCACACTGCACATGGAGAGAAAGCAGCAGTGATAGGTCTATATTACAGGAGGGGGCGGATACAAGACCAGTCACCCTGCACAAGGAGAGAGAGCAGCAGTGACCGGTCTTTATTACAGGAAGTCTCACACTGGATCACTGCACAGATCTGGAAGAAATACACAAAGCTCACCAAGATTCCAGGAAGAACACACAAGATCTCCCATCCCAGAGTTCAGCAATACACTGCAGGAAGATGCCAAATAAAACAATGACCATGGATACAAATGGACCCGAATTCAATGAGCTCAATGAGTAGAGAAGTGCTGAGATCTGAGCCGCATGTGATGACTCCAATGCCGATCCTACAGACAGTCTATGGGTAATATCGCCGCCTTATACCGCAGCAATGAAAACTTTCTCCCCGGCACGTTCACCCAGCCTAGGTGAATGCAGAGCTGCCTCCGGGACTCACCTCGGCCATGTTTCCGCAGGTCGGAGGCTCGGTCCGGGAAGATCGGGCTGGGAACCGGATGCGGCTGTTTCCGGTGTGGGATACTTTGTATCGGATCAGGGTCTGTATCCGGATGATCCGTCCGCTCTCCCCGGCCACCGGCGGTGCTGAGCTCCGTACACCCGGCCTGATCCGTCGCTGTCCTCGGTGCTGAAAGGCGCGGCCGCTGTCCCGGGTGCTGAAAGCGTCTCTTCTCAGAATGGGGAGACGAGGACGTCCGTCTAGAGCCGAGCTCGGAGGGTGTGGGCGGAGCCTGACACCGCACGTCACCGCCCCCTCATTATACTGGGAGGACGCGATGGATGCAGCAAGACAATCCCCAGCAAGCCAACAAAGGATCACTGGGAGCAATGAATCCCAATCACTGGAATCTCATACAAGCACCCTTAAGGGTCCGTTCACACCAGCAAGCCGTGCTGAGCGCTGTGCGCTGGAAGGTGATGGCGTTGGTGCAACAATCATGACTTTTTTTTCGTTAGAACTTTATTATGTATTTATTAAATAATAAAAGACCCCCCAGTAGGTTGTGTATGCACAGCATATTAGCACCAACGGTGTCCCTAGACTTTTCGCCAACCAAGGTGGGGGAAGGTTTGCGGTGCTGGTGGTAAACGCTACCTGGGGGGGCGTTAAGTGGATGGGGGTGCACAATAACTCTGGTGGATACGATGTTGGTGCATGTTAAGGGGCTGGTGGTGTCTCTGCAAACTCTGGCAGGCATCCCACCCACTGACATCACTGCTTGCCAGGAGCTGGGTGGGACGCCGGCTGTGGTTGTAAAGGAGGCGGTAGTGTGCCCACGTGACCCAAAGAGATGCCGCCTAAGGCCTCATTGCAGCGACGGTCCTGATTGGCACATTGGGGCAGATTTACCTGCCAAAGCGATCCCCTCCAGTTTTGCAATGCCAGCGCCTTCCTCTGTTTTTATCTTTCTCCACACCTTATTCCATGTTCTGAGTCTTCAGCCGCTTGATTGGTCGGGCTCAGATGGGCATGCATACTGTAGCCGCTTCATCTTGGCAAGAATCCTGTGACAGTCACTGGTGGCGGGCGGGGGCTTGAGTGCATGACAGTGACCCCTAGGAGGGTGTGCACAAAAGTGACGCTGCCTTCTGCAGACCTGGGTGCTCTGGCCGGATTCCTGCCCAGCCTCTGGCAACCAGTGATGTCAACAGGCAGGACACAGGACATGACAGTGGCCAGTGTGCAAAAAAAACTCTTCCATTAAACATGTTACATATCGCTGTGAATGTCAGAGTGAGAGCAATCATTTTAATGATATCGCTCACTGATAACCCTAAACTGATGAGCAATGAAGTTTTTAAGGTGTCGCCTATGGCCAATTTTGGATACAGTCGTTTTTTGCCATTTCACGGGCATGGGTATTTTAAAGGCTTTACATGTTTGGTATTTATTTACCCAATACAACCCCATCTTTTATATTTTACACAAAAATGGGGTACTATATGTGTGTTCGTGAGCACTAAAATTAATTTTAGCGTATTTTTTCCTAAAAATGTTGGTTTGGTCAACATTTGCTCAAATATCGTACAACATAAAAAAATATTTTTTTGACTCTACAGGGCCTCTGCTTTCAGAAAATGTATCACTGTTGGGGGCTTTAAGCAGTTTTTTAGCCAAAAAAAAAAATCTGAATTTATCATGTGTGCAAAACTTAAGAAATTGTTCCAGATGGGAAGTGGTTAATCAAATGCTGGAATCCATTGTCACTGGGGCCTTTGCCACATTTTCAAATTGAGCATTTTTCAAGTTTTTTTTTCTTTTAGTACAGGCTTTTTTTCTGCGTGTTTTTGCACTTTTCTTTAGGCTTTAGCGTCTTGTTTTTTTTTTTTAATATTATTTTTAGCTAATGGAAATCTAGTAACAAGGCAAGAAAAAAAGGCAGGCGCCAACATAGAAGTCTAATGGGGCCCAAATGGTTGACTCTGCCCAGAAAGAAGCTCATGTACTTGTTTGAGTGACGAGCTTTAAGTTTTAGAGATGTCACATCACCCTCCTGACCGATACCCCTCTCTGAATTATTCAAAGAGTGCTGTAATGACCAGCAGATTGCGTTGCATGGAACAAAAAGAAGAAGGTCACCAGCAAACCCAATTTCACTTTATTGACATCAGATGAACATAGTATCACAATGAACACCAACGTTTCAAAACTGCATGTGGTTCCTTCATCAGGCAAACAAGTGACGCTTAGGTGTGAATGGGTGCCACTAAAAAAATAATAGGATTCTTCATGTTGAGTGGTGTAGTACTTTCGTAAATACGCAACAAATTGCTCAGGTGTGACAGGGGGGCTTAAAAACCCTCAAACATTAGCAGACTTAAAAAGGGTTATTAAACCCTCAGTGGTTTTTGCATATATCTTCTGCTTTCAATCAGTAGATATATGCAAAAACATTTAAAAAAAACTTTTTAAAAGGCTTTAAACTTACCTTGTGTCTTCGCCACGCACTCCCATCCCAACATCTGAAGAGTCTCGGGCGGCCGCAATGGATCCTGGGGCGGGCGCATGTGCAGTTCAGATGTTCGACTGGGAGACAAGGAGAGATACATGGTAAGTCTATAAAGCAGCGTGCACCTGCACATACTCCGTGGGACATCAGAGAAGAGGAGGGCAGAGGAGTCAGCTCTGGATCGGAGACCCGCACCAGCGCTGGAGGGACAGCTAAAAAGCAAAGTAAAGAAGATGATCGCATAAAGAGGCATCATTTATGGTAAGTCCCTACAGCAGGATTGGGAAGGGGAAAACAAATTTCTGACTTTAATGTCACTTTAAATCTCAAATCATGAAACACACTGCTTCACATTAGGGCTCTCCCGAGAACTGTGCGTTGTGGTAGCCTGTACTATGGGCAACTGCAATGTACCAAACTGACTGTTGTGCATTGCAGCACAATGCCAGTTAATAGACATGTGCACTGCCAAAAAATTTGTTTAGTTTAGTTTCGTTTTAAATTCGGATTTGTGTTATTTCGTTTTTCAGGATTCGGGTGTGAAAGTCAATTCGGATTCGGAATTCGGATTCGGACAAAATTCGGTAGCGTTAGTACGAACGTTCGGTTCGTTTTCTGTTCTTATTCGTTTCTTATTCGTTTCGTTCGTTTGCAGCAAAAGTGACATTTGAGGGGGAAAAAATATTTTTCTCCTTCTCTAATGTCACTTTGCTCCAACGAACGAAACGAAGAAGGAGAAACGAATAAGAACAGAAAACGAAATGAACGTTCGTACTAACGCTACCGAATTTCGGATATGGAAATTCGGATTCGTTTGCATTCGTTATGTCTGTAATTCGGAATGTCCGAATTTCCGAAAATTTGTCCGAATTTCGATTCGGAACGAAACGAATCGCACATGTCTACCAGTTAATCACAATACACATGTGTTTCAGTACACCACAATACATAGGGATAACCCATGTGTGCCCTGTGATGTGTTACATTAAAAAAAAAAATCTGCAGATCCATTAATATCTGTGTTATGGTGTTGGCAGCCCATTCCGCCCGAATATATGCTTTTTTAAATGGGCACCCCCTAGCATGTGGTACAGTGAGATAACGTGCCCTAAACACATTGATCATGGGATGTTATGGTGTGAATGAACCCTTACTGTCAATGTGACAACGGTTTCACCAGGCAGGACATGGAGGAAAATCTGCAACAGGAACACAGGACTGAAATAAATAGTTAACAGGGTCTCCCAGTATCCCCTAATCTATGGAAAGAATAGCTGGACATACACTAGTGGAACTGACCTATGACTCAGGACTTATTCTAATCTTTTATTTCCACTCTCATCTATTCCACTGTGCTTGCAGGAAATAAAAACATGTTGTGCAAATACATTTATCAGAAGGCTTCTTAGTGCTGTGTAAATTTAATAATGCATAGAACCGTATTGTGTTCAAAGCTTACTCTGCGAGGGGAATTGCCAGCAGAAAAAAGCTATCTTGAAAAACACACTCTCAGATGTTCCAATTTGACAATCACCTTCAATCCGTTGTGTTTGACTGACAAATATAACATATAAATGGGCTGACAGTGATCCTTAAGCAGCAAGAAACAAGTTTTTTGTCGAGCCTAATAGCTTGGGTTCGGCAGCACTCCAGAAAATAGAGGGTCCCCAAAAGATTGGGGTCGCCAAATTTGAGAAATTCACACATAGTCATACTAAAACAAAATCGCCAAACAACCATCTTGAGAGTCCAAATTATTTTATTATATCCTCAATGACATCATCTGGGCTTCAAAGTTTCATCAAAGTGTCTAATGGTCTCCAAACACCATAAAAAAGCTCCAGGACAATTCTTAGCCAGTGCACCCTGCTAATGAGAGGAACTTCCACCATTTCATCCCCTGGCTAAAGGTGGCCATACACTTTACAACCATCGCAAGACCTTAGTCTTGCGATGGTTGTAAAGTGATTAAAAAAACGTACGATCTGCCCATCTTGGACAGGCAGATCGCACTCTCGATCATCGCAAGCCTGCCCCCCTGAGGGGCGGGCTTCCGATGACCGCAATGCTGAACGGGCAGTGTGCGCGTGCGCACACCGGCCCGTTCGGCATTTGTCTCCCGAGCACTGTTCAAACCAGCCGAAAATCGTACAATTCTCGGCTGGTTTTCTAACATGCACCTTAGACAAAAGACGTGCGACCGTACATTAGAAACAGTCGCACGTCTTCGTTCACACTGATTCTCGTACGATCGCGGGATTTCCGTACGAGAATCGAGCAGTGTATGGGCACCTTAAGCCTCATCTGTTCAGGATCTTTTTTTGTGCTTGGAGTCCATTAGACTCTTGATATAATTTGAAAGCCCTGATAAGAGGGAATGTCTGCCCCCCGAAACATGACGGCTGTCTTATCCATTGGTGGATATATAACAAAAACATGTATCAGGGAGTAAGGCAGCCCAAAAAGAAGAGCATCCACACTGCAAAAAAACAAAAAACAAAAAAAAACAATTAAAGGAGA